TGGGCAGATGGGAATTTGTTAATATCTGGTTGTAGAAAACCTGAAGTTGACCTTAATTAAAATATATCAACCGCGTGTGTAACCGTGATGGTCTCTTCTTGGCGGAGTCCGGGAAGTGAACACGATGTTGGAGTTATGCTTGACGTAGGTTGTTCTAGGATCACTTCTTGATCATAGTTTCTCGACCGTGCTTTGCCTCCTCTTCTCGCTCTCATTTGTGTATGTTAACCACCATATATGCTAGTCACTTGCTGCAGCTCCACCTCATACCTTTTACCCTTCCTATAAGCTTAAATAGTCTTGATCGCGAGGGTGCGAGATTGCTGAGTCCCGTGACTCACAGATACTTCCAAAACCAGTTTGCAGGTGCCGATGTTACCGAGCAGGTGACGCAAACAAGCTCAAGGAGGAGCTCGATGAAGATCTTGTCCTTTGTGTTGTTTCGTTCTAGTTGATCAGTAGTGGAGCCCAGTTGGGACGATCGGGGATCTGTGTAGCTTTGGGGTAGTCTTCTTTTATTTTGGTTCCGTAGTCGGACCTTGTGTGTATTTGTATGATGTAATGCTTTATTCCTGTAATTGTGTGAAGTGGCGATTGTAAGCCAACTATGTATCTCTTTCCCTTATGTATTACATGGGTTGTGTGAAGATTACCTCACTTGCGACATTGCTTTCAATGCGGTTATGCCTCTAAGTCGTGCTTCGACACGTGGGAGATATAGCCGCATCGAGGGCGTTACAATGCATAGCAATGAGATAGGGGAGAGTATGTCTACGTACCCGCGTAAACCGAAAGCGGAAGCGTTATGAAACTCGGTTGATGTAGTCGAACTTCTTCGCGATCCAACCGATCAAGTACCGAATGCACGGCACCTCCGTGATCTGCACACATTCAGCTTGGTGACGTCCCTCGTACTCTTGATCCAGTTGAGGCCGAGGGATGGTTTCGTCAGCACGACGGCGTGATGATGGTGATGATGAAGTTACCGACGCAGGGCTTCGCCTAAGCACTACAACGATATGACCGAGGTGGAATTCTAAGGAGGGGGGCACCGCACACGGCTAAACAATCAACTTCGATGTGTTCTAGGGTGCCCCCTCCCCACGTATATAAAGGAGGGAGGGGGAGGCTGGCTGGCCCTCATAGGCGCGCCAAGGGGGGATGAATCCTCCTCCTAGTAGGAGTAGGACTCCCCCCTTTCCTAGTCCTACTAGGAGAAGAAGGAAGGAGGGGTGAAGAGAAGGAAGGAGGGGGCGCCGCCCGTCCCCCTAGTCCAATTAGGACTAGGCGCATGGGGAGGGGAAGCCAGCCCTTGGCAGCTCCTCTCTCTCCCCCTAGGCCCAATAAGGCCCATTACTTCTCCGGTAGTTCCGGTAACCCTTCCGGCACTCCGATATATATCCGGTGACCCTCGGAACTCATCCGGTGTCCGAATATAGTCATCCAATATATCAATCTTTATGTCTCGACCATTTCGAGACTCCTCGTCATGTCTGTGATCACATCCGGGACTCCGAACAACCTTCGGTACATCAAAACACATAAACTCATAATACCTATTGTCATCGAATGTTAAGCGTGCGGACCGTACGGGTTCGAGAACTATGTAGACATGACCGAGACTCATCTCCGGTCAATAACCAATAGTGGAACCTGGATGCTCATATTGGTTCCTACATATTCTACGAAGATCTTTATCGGTCAAACCGCATAACAACATACGTTGTTCCCTTTGTCATCGGTATGTTACTTGCCCGAGATTCGATCATCGGTATCTCAATACCTATTTCAATCTCGTTACCGGCAAGTCTCTTTACTCGTTCTTTAATGAAACATCCCGCAACTAACTCATTAGTCACATTGTTTGAAAGGCTTATAGTGATGTGCATTACCGAGAGGGCCCAGAGATACCTCTCCGATACACAGAGTGACAAATCCTAATCTCGATCTATGCCAACTCAACAAACACCATTGGAGACACCTGTAGAGCATCTTTATAGTCACCCAGTTATGTTGTGACGTTTGATAGCACACTAAGTGTTCCTCTGGTATTCGGGAGTTGCATAATCTCATAGTCATAGGAACATGTATAAGTCATGAAGAAAGCAATAGCAATAAACTAAACGATCATAGTGCTAAGCTAATGGACGGGTCATGTCAATCACATCATTCTCTAATGATGTGATCCCGTTCATCAAATGACAACTCATGTCTATGGCTAGGAAACTTAACCATCTTTGATTAGCGAGCTAGTCAAGTAGAGGCATACTAGTGACACTCTCTTTGTCTATGTATTCACACATGTACTAAGTTTCCGGTTAATACAATTCTAGTATGAATAATAAACATTTATCATGATATAAGGAAATATAAATAACAACTTTATTATTGTCTCTAGAGCATATTTCCTTCAAAACATACCTAAACCCACATAGAACCCTCACGTAGAGCATGGATTAGTACACAAAGCACAATGGACAATGCATACCATACCAAGGGATCACTTGATCCCTCACGACACATCTTGTATGCTTTGTGTGTTGACCAACTTGATTCATTCTTTGACTTAGTCATGATCAACCTTGTATCATGACTTCTCTATGACCAATCCTTGGATAATTCCTTGAATAGCATCTTGGTCACCACATAAAATCCTTGAAACCAACAAATGGACTTCAAGAAATGCCTATGGACAAATCCTATGAATATAAATCAAGGCAACCATTATTCCATAGAGAATGTCATCTATTACTACCGCCGTCTCGATGAATAAGTCATTCACGTAGTTCTAGGTCAACAATTTAACTATCTAAATATGTATTATATGTGACAAAAAATATATATTTAGAAACTATATCTGTGTGCAAATCTAGTGATATACTTTTCATTACATATGACACATATTTGATTCCTCAAATCAATGACCTAAAACTACGCGAATGACTTATTCACCTAGACGGAGGTAGTACCAAAACCACACATGGGGGCACCATGCTCTTTCACTACTCGTGCTTGTGTGGTGTACAAGAAGTTGAAGAAGAAGTCATCCACCGTCATGCATTGTTTTTTGAAATTGAATGGGCAACCAAAGTGGAACATTTTTATTGCCAAGACCGCCACCCAAGCTAACGAGGAACAAACTGGTGACCCTACTGACCCAGCCCAAGAACCGCCGAAGAAGGTTAGAAGAAATCGGTGGGGCAAGAAGTGGGAGCAGTAGAGGGCGAAGCGAGAAGATGCGGCGGCCAAGCTGACGGAGAGGTTCGAGGAGATCTTGGCGAAGAAGGAAGAGGCATGCGTGAGGCGCTCGGACATCATGCAGGAGAGGAAGGAGGAAAGGTTCAAGCAGTTGATGGAGGTGACGGAGAAGAAGATCAAGCTCGAACATAGGAGGACCATGATCGAAGAGAGGAAGGCGGCACTTGAGGAGAAGAAGGCCACGCTCGAGGAAAAGAGGGTGAAGATCACCGCCAAGGTGGAGGACGCCAGGATGTTGACCTTGAATATCGACTCTTTGGATCCCGGCGCTAGAATTGCCGTTCAATCCGCCCGCTACCAGATGTTGGAGCGACAAAAAGATGAGTTGGCGGCGGCGGAAGATGAGAACGCGGTGGAGGCGGAGACGGACACCGACGCGGAGGTTGTCTACGCGGTGGCGACGGCACCTCCTTGATCGGGAGGCAGCTTGCTGGGATGGCCGATCCGGCAGGCAGAAATGCACGGACTACCTGACTGATATTCTTTTAGATTCGGACATGTAAAAACTAAGCATATTTGCCTCCTTTTGGTTGTGATCGGGGATGCAATCCGGCGCGAGATCCAACACATTGTATGGATCAACGTAGATTTGAATTTGAATTTACTGACACATACAGACTACAATTGAATGTCGTCCTTTCGTATTCGTGTCCGCGGATTGATCTCTGTTTACGGACGGGTGCGGAAAGAAATTTACGTGTTGCTGTTGAAGATGCACCGAGTGGCAAAATTACAGGAGACCGATGCTCTCAATTAGAGCTCCAGTGTCTCTCTCTTTCTCATTTAGACGGCACTAGCAAGTACTACTGACGGTAACCTCCAATAACTAATTGAACGCAATCAGCGCTCGCGAGATGTACAAATATCTTGCCAAAATCAAGAAGAGGTACGTAGCGGATAAGGTCACGGTCAAGATATTTCGGTCGACCACGTCGTGGGGTCACCCAAGTTGACACCCCAGGCTAGCATAGCGCCACCAGCAGCACCGCACCACGAGCGATGCACTGAACCTTGAACCTTGAAACTCGCTGCTGTACAAATCAGTGAGCCGTCACGGTCACATGCATCTCTCCTCTCAGACGAAATAGTCAAGGGGCGGCGCTGCTCTCGGAGGAAACGGTCACCCGGTCCCTCGCCAGCCCAGCCTTGCTCTTGGCATCCTGAATTATCCGAGTCGACTGGACAAACCTAATACTTCCTTCGATTTATATTAATTGTCGATGATTTAGAGGATGTGTAGAATCCATGCACACTCGTTTTCAACTCGTTGGCACGATGGAGGCGTCTGGATGACACCGTGAATTTCTATTCTGCATGGGCGAGAATGCGGTCTGGACTGACGACCGGTCAGTGATCTTTGGATGATTCATTAAGTTGTCTTCAAAGATGCCCCCGGCCATCTCCCTTGCCCTTGGTGATGAACTGATGATCACTCCAGTCGTTTTCGTTCTACGGAGCACTCGTGTGCCTACTGGCTAGTGCCGTGTCGGCACATACATCATGGGCCACATCACAGCCCACAAGTGGTCAATTATTTTCCCAAGACAAATTTAACATGTGCGGCAAGGCGCCGGTATTGACAGAGCACAGATGATGGTTTGGTTCGCCTATAAATACTTTTCACCTTCCCATGTTCTCTTCACACACACACACTCACACAAAAGAAGAAAGAGAAGAAGAAGAAGAAGAAGAAGAAGAGAGAAAGCAAGAAGAGGAGGAAGGACAACACAGAAAGCAGAGCCATGGAGCACTCCTATAGCAGCAACAGCGGCATCAGCAACTACGGCAGCGCAAAAGAGAGGAGGCCTCCGCTGAAGAGGGGGCAGCTGAAGCGGCAGATCATGCGGACCATCAGCAACCTCATGGCGCCCAGGAACGCCGGCGCCGGCGCGGACAAGAGAGCGTCAGGCCGCACCAGCTTCGGCGCCTACAACTGAAGCTCCCATCAAAGACGCCGTTGGCTGTCTGTCAGATACACTCGCACGGACGCCCCTTCCTTCAGAGTTCAGAACCATCAGATTAGCTTTTTACTTGGTAGCTTCATACTGGGTTTTCTTCCCAGGTCTTCTCCCCGGATTGTACAGAGTTATGCGATTGTACAGATGAATAGAGAGGTTATGTGCAATTTCGTGTGCGGTCACTTTCTGATGCAGTCGTTTCGAAAAGAAAACTTTGTGATGCAGTACTCCTTCTCTTCTTCTTGAACGCTATAATTTGGCTGTGGGTAGAACGCACGGGTGAACAAATCTATATACTTAAAAAAGAAATAGAGACACGTGACCCTTCACTCCTGCCGAACTCCCATCTAGGGTTTCCTTGCCTCTCGCCGGCGCTGCAGGTCCGCCTCATCTCTATGGTCCTTGAATCATGGAGGGAGGGCGGATCCCGGCCCTTGCCGGCGAGAATGTTTTTTTGAGTTTTGTTAGGGTTTGTGCCATGCTTAAAAAAATAAGGCGATGGCGGCTTCTTGAAGATGGAATAAGGTCCTTTCTGCCTAGCCCTCATCCCGGTGATGTTTCAAGCATCGTCGAAGGCGTGTAGAGGTTTGTCTCGGCGGATCTCGTGGGATCCGGTCGGCGTTTTTCTTCGATGGATCCGACTGGATCCGGTCTTTGTCCGTCTACGTCTGTGTGTCTGCAGGTGGTCCTTCCGGTCTATGCTTCTCTTCATCGGTGGTTGCTGTTCTAGTGCGCTGGTCCTATGGGGCCTTAGCACGACGACTTCCCGACTGTCTACTACAACAATGTTTGCCCGCCTCCGACGAGGGAGGGGCAATGACGATGGCGCGCCTTCGGCTCGCTTCAGTGCTTGTAGTCGTTGGTAGGTCGTCTACGGACCTGGATGTAAATTTTACTTCTAGTGTTCTGTTTGACCAGAAAGCGGAAGCCTTTAAACGTGTTGAAGCCCTTCAGTTTAAGCTTCATGGCACCAGAGAAACCTACAAGAAAGGGTGGCAGACAGCGTCGTGGCAACACCTCAAGAGATTTGCCTCCTAACCTCTATGAGCTGTACAAGACAGATCCAGAGGAGGACTACAATCAGCGAAAAACTCGAATCCAATGGATTCGAAGATATTGGGCAGAACAGTGGTTCAAGTACAGGTTCGTGACCCAGGAGTATGCTGAGAAAAATGCCATCAAACGACCATGGGGAGACATTCTATACAGAAATCTTCAACCCAAGTCCAGAGCTGAAGCCATTGAACAAGACTTCTATCCTTGCATGGTCCGTGGACCGCAGCCTTCGGATGCAGACCTATCTTCATTACTGTGGTGTCGCGATGATTATCTATTCAAGCGCAACCTTCAGTTTGCCAGAAACTCGGCCAAAGAGAACAAGAAGTCACGAGGCTTAGACTTCAATCCAGGCCCCTCTGCTCCTCGTGCTGATGGCACACGTGAAGCTGAACCCAATCTTGTTGGGCCCTTCTACAACCTGGAAGGTCTCATCACTCATATCATGGTTCAAGGGACAGCCGTGGATGAGCCTGCAGATGACGCTGAATCTGATGAAGCGCCTGCACCGCTGAAGCCAAAGAAACTGAAGAAGCCTAAAGCTTCAAAGCCTGCTCCTGCACCAAAGGTCTTACAGGCGAAGCCTCTGGCCATTTCACCTCCTGAACACAGTGTGCAGTCTGAAGATTTGTCACGCATCTCCAAGCCCTCGAGAGTAAAGATGCCCTTGCAACCCACCAGCCAAGAACTGACTGCTGTTGCTATTCTGCGCAACGACGCCATTGATCTGTCCAGCGATGAAGATCTTGCAGATGACGCTCTTGAGCAACTGATCAAGAGCAAAGAAGAAGCAGAAATCTTCAATGATTTGCCTCTCTTTGACGTAGCAATCCTTCACAACTTCATTGATAAGGGGTTTGAAACCCCCAATCTCAGCTTTGATAATCTACAACTTCCAATTGGCCTCAACGTCGCTTTCACTGGCGCCGTTACTTCTGAGCTAGCTCTAACTCAGCGCATCGTTGAACTGAAGCAAAATATCGACTATGAGAAAGCTCAGTTCAAGTAGCACATGACAAAGCTCAGCGTGTAAGATGTAAAGAACTTCAAGACTATGTTGCACGAGCTCAAGGAAGCCTTTCTCAAGAAACGCGAAGAAGCTAAAGGTTCTCGTGGGCGCATGAAGAGTCTGGCTGACAAGTGCGTGCAAGCCCACAATGAAGCTGAAAAGCGCAAGGCTCTTGGGCGTCCTGGCATCGATCCCAGGATGGCTACAAAGAAGAAGAAGAAGCCAGTTGTGGCCGAACCCGAAGCAACAAAGCAGGAAGCACATCCCATTGTCTTCCCAGCCAGTATGACAGGCTCGAAGCCTAAGGTCCCCACAGTGGCTTCAAAAATAAAGAAGACAAGGGCTGCCGAGGCTGAAGCCAGAAATAGGAAACATCCTGAAGCTTCTGATGTCGCTCCCTCCAAGAAGAAGCGCAAAACCAAGAAAGTTCGGGCTGCTCCCACAAAGCCCCTTATTGTTGAGCCCATCTCGGTTGCTCGTCCTGCCTCTTCGCATCAAGAACGACGGATGGTAATTCATGAACCCGCTTCCACAGAGGCTCCTGAAGCTGAAGACATTCTAGCAGTTGACCCCATCGCTGCTGAAGACATTGGTCACCATGACAATGTTGAAGATGATGAAGTCCTTCCTCAGACCGAGCACCAATTGGTATCATCGCCTGTGCTTACGCACAGCGAACTCATCAGCATTGGTCGTCCTCTGACGCCAACTGCTCAGGATGCATCGTGGGCTGATCACCCACAGAGACAAGACACTCCAAGCTCTCCCCAACCACAAGCTACCCCAACAGTGCAAGATGATGATGACTTTGTGGCCCAACACACTCCATCTCCACAAGCGTCGCCCGCATTATGCAGGCTTCACAAAGGACCAAGGCCCCAAGTCAATCCCACAATGCACGTGTCTGAACCCGAAGCCAAAATGGCTGAAGACATTCCGGCTGCATCAGCCGATGAAGAAGAAGATGAAGAAGAAGCCTCAAGAGACACAAGAGTTGCTACACCCCCGTCTCACCAAGATGTTGTTCTCGAGGAGAACGTGACCGACCCTCCAGCTTCTGAAGTGGAGGTTAACAACCCTGAAATAACCACCAACATCACCGTTGACGCCAATGACGTTATCATGGTTGACGCCAATATGGCGCCGGAAGCCAATGAGGCGCCAGAAGCCAATGAGGCACCAGAAGTCAATGCTGCAACACCTGAAGTCAATGCTGCAGCACCTGAGGTCCAAGTACGTGAAGCACATGTGGCCCCTGAAGCCCATGAAGACAATGCCAATGCCCCTGTTCCCCCTCCAAGACCTCACACAATGGAGCTGGCATTTGATCGTGGTCGGCCAGTTATGGTTCGATGGCCCATTCTGACTCCTCGGCCTGCTACTGGTCCATAATTTGAGTACCACGTCGAGAACAGGCCTCAAGTCCAAAAGCCCAAGCCAAGACTTCTACGTTTCCCAGGCATTGCCACTTCACCTGGGGTCTTCAATGCGAATGGCTTCGTGGCACATAATACCTTCTTCAACAGCTCCAAGAACCCTTATACCAGACCGCACATTTCCTTAGATAGGTTCTGGAGCTATCAGCAGCGCAGCTACTATTCCTGTGTCCTATACAATCAAGGGCGCATATTTCCACATATGCGCCTCGACTCTGAAGCTATAGCTGGTCTGCCCTGCCTCGAAGAAGCATTGGACTGTTTCAGAGATGCTAGTCTATTTCAGTTCATCACTAACAAGGAGCACTGGAATGAAGAATTGCTGCTTCAATTCTATGCCACTCTTCATATTCGAGGCTACAACAGGGATCCGAAGACTTGGGTCCTTGAGTGGATGACAGGCAATGTCCATCATGAAGCTAAAGCTTTTGATATCATTGAGCTCACAGGCCTGCACACTCCTAGTGAATACTATGAACCAGGTTGTCAACAACATCAAAATGCCTTGGAAAGCATCTTTCAGAAGCCAAAACCCAACATGAGTCAAATGTTGAGCATGATGAAGCCTCTGCCTCACGATGCTGAATACCCATCTGAGTTCTTTGTTGAAGACCTAGAGTACCTGCCTCGCACCATTTACCACATCATCAGGAACACTCTATGGCCTGTCAAAGGACACTCATCTGCAGTGAAGCTTGAAGGAGCAATGAAGACTTTGGTTTTCTATATCTTCAATGACATCAGCTTCAATGCTCAAGACTTCTTCATCAGGTAGTTGGCTGCGTCTGGCTCCGACATCTTTGGGTTGAAATTCTATGCTCCATGGGTCATGCGTCTGATCAAGCGTCAGTCAGCCTTCAACTATCAGCCGTCTGCGCGCAATCATCTTATATTCTTGCCCGAGGTTGATCTATTAGTTGAAGCCATTTACCCAGAGCCTGCTAAGGATCCCATTTATCTTCACAATGCTGATCACCAAAGTTTCACTCAGCCTATTGAAGGAATTCCAGCAGTGTCTCGTGTTTATCCCCTTGCTGGAAACACACGTGCCCCTCATGCTCAAACTGATGCCACTGGTAGCACCATTGTGCAAAGGCCTCAAAGACGATCTCGTGTCCTCAATGACCGAGAGCTTCTCGTCGCACTGCATCAGAAACAGGACAAACATCACGACTGGCTTAAGCGTCAGATGCAAAGCCTCTTGGTGAATGTCAACCGCATTCGGAATCTTGCCACCAAGAATGCCTTTGTCACTCATGAAACCTGTCGGAGGTCGTGGAAGAGTTTGACCCTACCGAGTGCTGAAGCTGATCTGCACGACGATGGCTTCACCGAACGCTTCAAGTTTGACTCAACTCCTCCCAGAAATGCTCACTTGCATCAGACTCCCTAACTTGAAGACTCTGAATACTCGTCCTCAGCTGCGACCGTAAATGCCAGAGTCATCGATGACCAAGATGATGCAACTTCACCTCCTC